GTTGTGTCCATCGGGTTGTATAAAAAAATTCAAGTCGGGTTGTCAGCAGAGTAAAAAGTCATTTTAATATATAATTGATAATACTAATGTAACAAGAAATGACTGACTTTCTTCTGCAGAACACACAAAAAAGTATTTTGAAGTACATTGGTGAGCAAACAGTTTGGTTACCTGTTGACTTCTGTTGTATGGAGAGAGAAAAAACACAGACATTTCTCAAAATGTTATGCAGATGAAAGTAAGACAAACAAGTTTGGAACAACTTGAGGGTCAGTAAATAATGACAGAATTGTCATTTCTGAGTGAAATACTCATTTAATATTCCGTTCTACAATCCTAAAAAATTCCTAAAAATTTTTCCATCCAAGAAAGGTTTCCCCCCCCCCCTTTTTTTAGTTTTTTGTTCCTCTGAATATTGTCACTTACGTTCATACTTAAAAGTAGGGATGCACCGATACCACTTTTTCCAGTACTCGCCCGATACCAATACTCTTATTTTTGGTACTTGCCGATACCGAGTACCGATACCAATATTTTGTTCGTTGCGTTTGTAAATTTTTTAAATATTGGGTACAGAGACCAAAAGGGTATGTATAATGTTAGTTGGTTAACTTCATTTATCAAATAGATAAAGTCAAACCAAAATTTATTCAGACACCTTCAACATTTCTCACATTATCACAGTTTATTCGTTTTAGTTTAGAAAATGATAATAAAATATGACGAGAACTCAGAGTTAAACTGTGTCAGAAAAAATTCAGCTTGATAATGTCAGATAACTTTGATAGAAAGGTATGTAATGGATTACAATCAACCAAAAATTATATGTCAATATTTACACAACTATCAATACTTAGTCGGGCAACCCTTAGCCTTAATGACAGCCTGTAGTCTCCTGGGCATGCTGTTATCCAGGTTCATGCAAACCTCAACTTCATTTTTTTCCCAGACTCAGTCTGAATAATTTTTGGTCCCAAATTTGGGTGCATCCCTACTTAAAAGCATTCTCTGACCCTGAAAGGTTGAAAACATCCTGTTCTTTGATGGTTCAAAGAAGAGCAAGGTCACATCTTAAATGTTTTTTTCTCTAAAAGCGTCTCTTTTTCTTCTCTCATCAGGCTTCCTTTGCCTCCGGGGGCAGCTCTCAGTCTCTGGCAGAATCAGATGCTGTTTAAGGAGCTGTACTTCACTAAGTTCCCTGTAAGAGTTGAGCTACATTCAACATGTGCTCTACAATTACATACACTACCAATCTTACTTAGTCCAAACTTTTGCCCAGTAATGTTTTTGAAAAAAGTCTCTCATGCTCACCAAAGCTGTATTTATTTGAGGAAATAATACATTAAAATAGTAAGTTTTAAGTAGTATTGTGAAATATTACTACAGTTTAAAAGAAGATCTTTTCTATTTTCATGTATTTTAAAATGTAGTTTATTCCTACAGTGGCAAAGTTGAATTTTCAGTGTTACATGAGCTGTCAGAAATCCTTCTAATATGCTGATTTGCTGCTCAGGAAACATTTCTTCTTATCAATGTTGAAAGCAGTTGTGCTTCCTTTTGTGGAAACTAAAGTAAACTCAAGTTTGTAATAATAAAAAATAATAATAATACTTTTATACAGCAAGGACATTAAATTGATCAAATTGAATTGCATTTCATATAAATGCGGTTTATTATCTGTTAATTGAAGAATCATGAAAAAAATATGTATCTCAATTTTCCACAAAAAAAGTAAAACTGTGCAGTTGTGCTAATGAATATGTAATTCACTTGATACTATGTGCCTCAATCAAAAGCTGAGAATGTGCTTTTAATAATATCAACCCAGACAAATGAAAGTTGAACAGCGGTCTGATTTGGGATTCTGACAGGCGCCTTTCAGTTATGCATCGGACGCTCTGTGGGTGTGCCGAGGCCCAGTCTGTTGCATGCAGTTTGATTAGGCTCACTCTATCCGTTCTTTTTGATAATAATCAGGCAGGACAGTCATAATCCCTTCACAGGAAGGTGCTCAGCATGAGCTTTTGATAGTTACATCTCATCTGCTGCTAGCTGCATTCAAACCACATGCTGATTGTAATGACAACAGAAAAGGATCTGTTTATCACTTTATATATATTTTTAAATGATGTAGTGCTAGTTTCTGTGCTGTTAGTTACAGTGAACAGGAACTGAAGTTTGAGGTTTCAAAAAGGATGCAAAACCACCATAAAAGTGGTCCATATGGTATATGCGCTACTGTATATAGTGAGTATTAGGAAGTCATACAGTCTGCTAGCTTTGGGTGAAAAATTATATATACAACTACAAGTGTCGGTATATAACAAGCTGAATATGTCAGAATGATGATTTCTGAAGGACCGTGTATGACACTGAAGACTGGAGTAATGGCTGCTGAAAATTCAGCTTTTTTTACAAATGTAATGAAATGGAAACAAAATAGAAAACAGTGTATTTATTTAAATTGTAATAATATTTCACAATAAAATATCGCCTTGGTGAGCATAAGAGACTTCAGAAAACAAACTTAATTATTCCAGACTTTTGACTGATGGTGTACAATAATTTAATGTTTGTTTTAAGGTGTGCAAGTAAAATGTTTTGGTAAATGTCTTTGTGGATGTTTATAGTTTGATCGTCATAATTGGCGTCTTATGAAATGTCTATTGTATGACAAAAATGGACTGAGCTTATGACTGCATGGCAAGTTGTGATTTGTGCACTTACTTGGGCCGTCTAGTGCAGGGGTGGCGAACGTCGGTTCTGGAGAGCCGCAGCCCTGCAGAGTTCAGCTCCAACCCTAATTAAAACTCACCTGCCTGTAGCTTCCTAGTAACCCTTCAGACCTTGATTAGCTTGTTCAGGTGTGTTTGATTAGGGTTGAAGCAAAACTCTGCAGGGCTGCGGCTCTCCAGGACCGACGTTCGCCACCCCTGGTCTAGTGGTTGAAAGAAGCTATCAGCTGCGTTCATCCTGTCACTTAAAATGTGTGTAAACTCACAAATATCTATTCCTATTGTATTGAAGTGTTTTTATTGCACTCCCTCCTAGGGTTACTATGACACCATGGATGCAGGTTTTGTGGACGAGGAGGACTTCTTGTACATCATGTCTCGGTCCGATGACGTCATCAACGTGGCGGGTCACAGGCTGTCCACCGGTGCCCTCGAAGAGGTGCTAGGAGAGGGAGTGGCTCACTCATGACACAAATAATAATCATCTCAAGCGTCTTTGTTATTGCTGTACCAAAAAAAACATATCTTGTGTGTGTGTGTTTGTCCTTCAGTCTGTCCTGCTGCACCCTGCTGTGGTGGACTGTGCTGTGGTGGGCCAGGAGGACCCCCTGAAGGGACACGTGCCGCTGGCTTTGTGTGTGCTTAGAAATGGTGAGGAATGCACAAAGAGAAAGGGGAATATATATATATATACACACACACACACACATAGTGGAGATTAAAATTAGAGAAGAATTTATGTACGCAATTTTTTTCAGAAATAATCTTCATCATTCAAAATTTGAAGGAACTTGAGTTGTGGCTATACCATGCTAGTAGAACAGTGTTTTACCAAATAACCAAGTCACTTCAAACCCTTTATTTTGTGGAAAACCGTGATCACAGTGAGATTTTTTTTTTAAATATCTAATTTGAGATTTTTATACTGTACTCCAGAATATATTTAACTCATGAAATATGCTTAAAAAACTGCCCTTCTACTCCTGTTAGAATAACTTTAAATAGGACTAAGCAGTGACCTCGAAATTGAAGGTTGTTCTCTAATTTTGATCTCCACGGTATATATACAAAAGTGTATATAACACGTTTATATATCTCCACATATATACAAGAGACTTCACATATACATATATGTGTGTGTGTGTGTTTGACTATGATGTATTTTAAATTATGTTTTGTAAAATTAATAAATGTAATTTATTCTTGTGATGGCGAAGCTGAATTTTCAGCATCATTACTCCAATCTTCAGTGTCACATGATTTTTCAGAAATGATTCTAATAAGCTGATTTGGCTCTAACTTTGATTGTTGCTTAGTTATTAATAACGGCTCTTATTATTACTAATGTTGACAACACTCTAATCAGCAAAAAGCATTTTCAACATTAGTAATAATAAGAACCATAATTATTAACTTAGCAACAATAATAACTTGGAACCAAATCAGCATATTAGAATGTATGAAAAATGTATGTGTTAATGCTTTGTGAATTTTAATGTGTAATAGTTTATGGTAGTTATGTTTTCATTAAGTAACAGTTACCAGGTAACATGGGATCAGATGGCTTGAATGAAGTAAAGGGATGCCAGTGTCCATATTGTGTATAAAGTGCCTTAAACACACAAATAAGGATGTATATTTGTTTATGTGCGTGTTTGTTTGCAGACTGTTGGAAGAGTGAGGATGTGCTGGTGAACGAGATGGTGAAATTGGTGAGGGACACCATTGGGCCGGTGGCAGCTTTTAAGAAGGTTGTCTTTGTCAAAGCTCTTCCCAAAACCCGCTCGGGAAAAATTCCACGATCGTCTCTCGCAAACCTGGTGAACCACAAGCCTTATAAGGTATTTTTGCAGGGTTCCCACTCTTTCATGAACACCAGATTCAAGGACTTTTTAAAGCACCATTTATTTTATATCAAGCACCTATCAGATTCACACCCCAGCATATGTAGTGTCATGAAAGACCTTACATTACTTAACATTTCACCACTTACACTTAACATTTACATAAAACATTTCAGAGTAATAATGTTTTTAATGTGTAGGTTTCATAAATTTAGACCGTTTTGAGCAGTTGTGTTCAAAGGAATTTAATTCAATCCATTGAAGTCAGTACTGGTAATATTCAAATACAATTTCTAAAATATAGATAAAATATGCATGAAGGTTGTTCTCTAATTTTGATCTCCACGGTATATATACAAAAGTGTATATAACACGTTTATATATCTCCACATATATACAAGAGACTTCACATATACATATATGTGTGTGTGTGTGTTTGACTATGATGTATTTTAAATTATGTTTTGTAAAATTAATAAATGTAATTTATTCTTGTGATGGCGAAGCTGAATTTTCAGCATCATTAC